AAGTGTGAGTGTTGGTCGGCCTTGTTAATTTCGAGTAAGTAGGTTTGCGTTATAGCAAAACAAGTTGCTTTTAACAATGGTAGCTATAGAAGTTTATGGTTTGGAGGGGGGGGAATTGGGTAAAGAGTTAATGAACAAGTACATAAAGTAGAAGGAATAAGTGGGTTTTAAAATAGGAACCATAGATAAAGATGAGCCTATTGGTTTAGGGATTTAGAAATACAAAGGAATATTTATGTTTTTGTGTTTCGAGTTGAATGATAAGTTGAGAAAACAACACTTTGTCATTTGATATGTTATGAATAAAAACAAGCTTAACAAATATTATATAGAACTTTTGTTGGATCGGGAGTATAGGAATCTACTACTACTGGAATGTATTGGAACGCAAAAGGAATAGATTATTGTAAAAAAGGAATGTCATATTAAAGAATATTGTATGGGAATATGGTATCAATATATGATAAATGAGAATTGAAACGATCTATTCAAAACAAGTAGTAAAACAATAATGATGTGTGTTGTTTATATATGCATAACTCCCGCATGCTGTTCTTATTTGTATTTTAGCTAATGTGTTGAATTTTGCGCGGGCGGTCTTTTTGTCCCCCCATACTCGGACGCACAAACGCTTGCGCCTCCTTCCTTCGTTAGATCCTTTCATCTTTCTGAAGCAAACGCTAGCAATCGGATTGGGGCGGGGGGGCGTTTGCTTGCTTGCTCTTTGAACCACTGGAAAGTTGAGACTTGCAGATCGAGCTCTGGGAAGATCGATCACTCGGGGTGAGCTTGCGGCGAGTTGCAGCTTGAAAGAAGAGAGCTGAAGACAGGGAGATGGGTCGGCTTGACATGGCTTGACGTTGTGCCTTCTGAGGTGGAGAAGTTTTGAGGGCTAACCACCAAAAAATATCTGAGCGAGCATGGCTCGCTTCAGTCTTGCCGTAAAGACCCAAACATGACCTTGTTTGGGTTTCAGGTTTTATGGCATTGCGACGTGGCTGTGCTTCGGGCTGTTGGGTGCACACCCCGAAGGTTCTTAGCAGGTTGGTCCGCTTTTGGACACATTTTCAAAGCTGGGCCTCCAAGTGTTGCTCGATGTTCCAAAGTTCACTCAATGTGCCCGGTGTCCTGTGGGACAAAATCCACCTTTGGGGGTTTGTCCCAACATTTACTGGCCTTCATTCAATCCCATCTGGTGAAGGCTTTTGCCCATCCACAGTATTTAGCTGAGTGTTGAAGATTGATGGATGGCACGAGCTCAGCTTGTTTTTTTTCTCAAGTTCCGCCATGCGTGTTTGCTGTGGTTGCCTTCTATTTTCGCTGAGCAGCTTGATCTTCGCCGGCCAATGGTCGCGTGGCGACTATCTGTTGAGGTTCTTGGGCCTACGTTTCGGGCAGTGGGCCTGGGTAGAGCTCGGCCGCACACCCCTCACTCTCGGAGAGAATTGCCCGGCAGAGAGTGCTGATAGTTTCCACTCGGGGTGGGAGCATGAAGCCTAGTCACCCATTGGCACCTTTTTCCGACAAACTCAACTTGAAGTTTCTCGATTTGTTCTTCCCTAAACAAACAGCACCTGTGTTGTGTTTTTTTTTTTTCCGCCAGCACATGTGTTTTTTTTTTGCCAGGAATGCACCTGGCAACCCCACAACCAGCTGGATGAGACCTGCGAGCTGTTCCTGGCCAGCGAGATGTACCGCAACGCCTCGCACTTTCTGCGCGTCGCCACCCGCGCCGACGACCCCAAGGTGCGGCCCAGCTTCCTGAGGCTCCGAGCACGCCTGGCGCAGGCGACGCTCGAGAAGAGGCCGAGACATGGAGGTCTCTTAACATGTTTCTGGGGTTCGCACCACCATTAAAACAAAGGGGGTTAGTAGAACCACCATGATATACCTACCATTAAAACACAGGGGGTTAGAAAAACCACCATTATTTACCAGGAGTTTCCACCATTATTTACCTAAGGAGTTTCCACCATTATTTACCTAAGGAGTTTCATCACCCTGAAAAACGACCGCGGCCGGCGTGGCAAAACACATTTTCTTCAGGGGTGCAAAGGGAAAGGGACCAGCCCCAGCTCAGATAATAATTAGAAACCCCTGAGGCCAAAGACGTGTCCTTTTGGGCTGTTCAAGCCATCTAAAACGAGGAAACCTATTACAGTGATGAGATTGAGCATGGACGTGTGCGTGGAGGCTTGGCAGAAGCACAACGTGCTACTCGGATTTTTGGAGCAGGGGCTTCTGAGCAAAATGTGGCTTTGCGAAACATTAATGTCCGTCGGGCTAATTGCAATCTGCCACTTGCAATGGAACCTTCTGTTGTGGCTACAACAGTAAAAAATGATTAGATTTCTTTAGATGCTTTGTCTCAAATGGTGGACCTATTTCCGGTTCCATTGATTTCGCTGTCAAAATCGGGGGGGCAACAAAAAATGGGTGGTTTCTCTTTCCCTTTAAATCCCCCCCCCCCCCAGAACCCTCAAACGCGCAGATGGGAAGCCGTGGGAAGCCACGCTTTGGAGGCCTTTCAAGATCCTGGCCATGGGCCCTTCCACCACAGCGGGGGTGGGGTGCATGAACCACGGGCGCCGGTGGATCGACGATCTACCCTGGCTGGCAAATGCCTCCAACAACACCCCGCTGAGGCTCCAGATGATCGACGGCACCAAGAGGGCGACGACTTTTACGGATTGTGGTTTTTCAGGGAATGGCTAAGTTTTAATGGACTCTCCCAAGTGGACAGCAAGCTCATGTAAACAATGTCCAATCCCCAAATGAAGTCATACCGATTTGCCCTTTGCGGAGGCCAAGAGGAAACCCAAGCATTTGAAGCCCCTTCAAGGTGTTACTGAGAGGAACCCTCACCCCATAAGTTTGAAGGCCAATGTCGTAGGACGTTTGGAGCCAGATCTTTCACGCGAAAATCGCTGAAAATCCCGATCTCATCATATTGGATTACACCGTCACTGGGGACGATTTTCTGAACGACAATCACCAGGCAAAGATGGCAGAGATGGCAGCGAGCACCGTTTCATGTTGACCAAAATAATCAACTCGGCAGATGAATAGGGGAGTTGTTCTTCAAGTGAAGGATTCCAACCAGCATATTCTAGCAAGGGACTGGGGCCGCATTGGTTTCTGGGCATGCAGTCTTGCCAGGGAGAATTTAGGTACCCTCAGCATCTCCACTTGGCCTTTTTCCATAAAAAGGGCGCCCTGGCGTACGGCTCTTATAGCAGGGCCAGCAAAACTAGAAGAACGGCTGGCGAAGCACACCATGTAGCGAGCGTGGCGCAAATATCATGGCAAACACGGTCTTTGCTTCTGCGCGATATCCAGTCCATCAAGGGCATTGTAGAGCAAATTTCAATCTTATATAGTCTCTCGTGCGAGTTTGCTTGCGCAAGTGTTCAAGTTGCTCTGCGCAAATGTTCTTTGAAAGTTGCTCTGCGCGAGTGCTCGGTGCAAGTTGCTCTGGCAAGTGCTCTGTGCAGGTGGCTCTGCGCAAGTTGCTCCGCGCAGGTCCTTTGTGCAAGTTGCTCTGCGCAAGTGCTCGATGCAAGTTGCGATGCAAGCTGAATTGCGCTGGGCAAGTTGCTCGGCACAAGTGTGCATGTGTTTATGTATGTCCTTCGCTGAGAAAGCTAATGCTCCGGTGTTTGCACACACCGCGTCACCTCGAGACACATTCTGAAGACCCACCCGCCAAGCACACAAAAGTAGCAAAGTCCTCAGTTTTCGTGCGGAGGCTCGATCAGGAAAAGTAGCACAAGACCCCAGTTTTTGCACATCGACCACGCCGATCCCCGCTGACTGCCTAAATCCTAAAAGAGGCAAAAGCTCTCAGTTTCTGCGCATCACTGAGCCCCGCAGGGTCGCGCGCGCAGCTATGCGCAGCCTAGAAGCATCAGAAGTACCCAGTTTTTGCGCGCAAACGCAACCTAGACAGTAGCAAAAAGTACCCAGGTTTTGCACATCGACCACGCCGAACCCGCAGAGGGTGTCATTTTCGCAGAGTGGGTTCGGTCCCACAGCGCCACGTTAACCTAAGAGATGACTTTAAGCTCTCGCGCAAGTTTTCTTGTGCAAGTGTGCCCATGCGAGTTTGTGCTTGTGCAAGTGTGCTCGTGCAAGTGCGCTCGGCGCTCGCGTAGGTGTGCTCGTGCAAGTAGCGCGTGTGCAGTTGCGCTCGTGCCAGCGAGCTCATGATTTTTTGCGGAAGGGCCCTTCGCAGTGCTTGCGGGGAAAGAATGTTCCAACCCACGCCAGTACTGGAGGAAGCTGGACGATTCAGCTAACTTTTGGGAAGGAGAAGCGGCTGATGCACCCTGAATTGCAAGAGACAGCCAAGGCCCAGGCCCCAACTTCTTGCTGGTCTCTACACAAAGTGAACCCTCAAATGGGTGGCTTCTATTCTTCTTCTTTCTTTCTTTCTTTCTTTCTTTATTTCTTTCTTTCTTTCTTTCTTGCTTTCTGCCTTTCTTTCTTTCTTTCTTTCTTTCTTTCTTTCTTTCTTGCTTTCTTGCCTTTCTTTCTTGCCTTTCTTTCTTTTGTTTCTTTCTTTCTTTCTGTATTTCTGTATTTCTGTATTGTTTCTTTCTTTCTTTCTTTCTTTCTTTCTTTCTGTTTTTCTTTTGGTTTTTCGTTCTGTGTTTCTTGCTTTCTTCTTTCTTTCTTTTTTCTTTCTTTCTTTCTTTCTTTCTTTCTTTCTTTCCTTCTTTCTTTCTCGTCCTCCTTCTTCTTTCGCCGACATCCTGGTTTCCCTGGCCCCAGTCAGGTCGTGGTGATGAGCCAGGCGGTGGACCAGCTGCCAAAGCCTCCGGCCATCATCTCCTTCGAGTCTTTCCGGGGCCGGACCATCCTGATGTTGAAGGCCGCGTCCCGACATGAGCTTCTCCAGTTCGCTCAAACAGGTTTGTTATTTTTATTTCCTTACAGGATACCTTTTTTGGAGACAGGTTGATCTGAGCGGTTGGACCCTGAAGGCCCTGAACGTCCCAGTCATTGCCCCCCGGACTCGAGTCTTGCAGATAGGAAAGGCGAAGTAAATGCGGGCGCGTCTGCTTGGTTTTTTCTAAGTGTCCGCCCAAAAGAAAGCAAGCCCGTGTTTCTAATTGCAAACACGGGCTGGGCTTCTCTTTCTTGGGGTTTCCTGAAATGGGCTTGTCTCAAAGTAGGGGGCCCCCCCGAAACAACAAAAGCAATCAAATATATATCTAGAAGACCGGTGGCCTGAAAGCATTAGCAGTGCGCGGCGGCAAGTTCTCCTAGCAAGTTCCTCTGAGCAAGTTGTTGGTGCGAGGCGCCCAGTTCTCCAAGCAAGTTCTCTGAGCAAGTTCTCTCAGCCATTCTCTCTCCACGAGTGTCCCTGCGAAAGCGACTTCGCAAAATGCTGTCATAGCTAAACCTTCCAGCCGGAGCCTTCTGAAAGCGCGTTTCGTGAACTACTTTCATAGTTTCACTTGCGATTTTCCTGCCGCAGCTGCGAAAGTGTACTTTGCGTACTACTTTTCGCACTTAAAAGTTGCGATTTTCTTGGCAGACCTGCGAAAGTGTACTTTGCGCGTACTACTTTCGTACTTGAAAGTGTTGATTTTCCAGCCGCAGCTGCGAGGGTGAACTTCTTTCTTATTTAAACGTTGCGCGAGCCGCACTCAGTGTTTTGCACATCGACCACGCCAATCCGCGCATGTTGAAAAATCCGAGAAGTGCACAGTTTTGCACATCGACCACGCCAATTCCCGCAGACGGCCGCGTGCGAACCGCAGAAATCGTAACAAGTCGCCAGTTTTTTAGAATTGACGAAGCCGATCTCTGCAGAGGGTCGGCTTTTCGATCGCCAAGTTGGCGCACGCCTGCCGCCTTCAAAAAGTAATTTAGGCTTGTCGAGCTTCACGTTCTTTCCTTCACGCCCGAATGCGTAAGAATATTGGCAAAGCTGTTTATCTAGTATAGTACACTGAAAACCTCTCGTGCAAATCTCTTGTGTAAGTTGCTGTGTAGCTTGCTAAAGCAATGCAACCTGCTATAGTGTCACTTGCTACTGCAACTTGCTAGCGCGGCTCGCTAGCGCTAGTTGCGTACGCAACTCGCCAGCGCACTTCTGTAGCGCTACTTGCTATTGCAACTCCCTAGTGCCACTTGTTAATGCAACTTGCTGGTACAACTCGCTACTGCAACTTGCTAGCGTTCGTGCAACTCGCTAGTGCAACTTGCCAATGCAACTTGGTACTGCAGCTCGGTAGTGCAACTTGCTAATGCAACTTGTTCCTGCTACCTGCTGCAAAAAGCATGGTTCCAGTCGGTTTCCCTGCCCAAAACAAAAAATGGTTTCCAGTCGGTTTCCCTCCTCCTCAGACACCCAAAGGACATCAGATCCCTGTCAGGATGACCTGGAGCCCGAGCAGCGGGATGCCTGTCAGCTCGCCAGAAACCTGGAGCCGAGCCGAAAAATGATTTCGGGTTGTGGCGCCGTACCCCTAAATGTGGTTTTGGGATGTGGGCCTGTGTTTTTTTACCGTGTCAGTTCTTTAGTCTTCCGAATCATACCCCGAACCATACCCCGAGTCATACCCCTTAAAAAACACAAAAAAGAACTTGCAAGAACTGTGGCATTTGCATGTGATCCATGGATAGCTGGAAGCTTCGGGGGGTTTAACTTCAAGTGAAGAAGGGGGTCTTGTCAAGAAACAGTGTTAGAGAGCTTGACATGTGGACCGATGCCACGGGGTAGGGACTCCGAGCTAATACCTGGTTCACTTGTGGTTCCTGGATCTAGCCTTGAGTCTGCGATGCTTGCATGGTTGGGCTCTGATGTCATGGGGCCAAGTACGGTTGACATGTCCACTCACACACTCACTGGTTGCTCGTGGGGGGCCATTTTGGCTCAAGTAAGTGGTGTTCCTTGACACTCGGTTACCCACCTCGGTCTCGGCTTGCTATTTCAATGAAAAAGTGCCAATGGATGGAGTTATAGGATGTCCTGGTACTAGAGTTGTCTGTAGCATCCGTGGTGCCGTGGTGGGGGGGTGCAGCTTGACGTAAGACTCTGGGACTTGCAGGGCGCTGTGGCGGAGGGCGCCGAGCTTGAAACTTGGAGCTTGCTTCCTGCAGTCTGTCCGGCGGTGAAAACAGCTGTCTGTCCTGGGCCACTGTCGCAGTGAAACAGTCTTTGTGCTCCTGGGGTACTCTTGGTGTCGTTTCCGGTCGAAAAAAAATCTGTCCCCCGATTCATACCCCCCATTCATACCCTTCTGCTGCCATTTGCAGCCAAGAGCCTCTTGCGCTCTGGGCAGCACTAGCGAAGCTATGCCGCCCAAAATCCTCAGAAGACACAAAACTCAAAGAGAAGCGCTGCAGGAACCAGCTCGTGGCTCTTTTCGCAGAAGTTCGCCAGAAGGTGGGTTCGGAAGGCTTACTGCACGGCACACCACCTGTGAGTTGCCCACTAGCCTCTGCGCGGCTGCCGTTTGAGGATGTCACGCTGTCTTGCCTGGGGGCGCTTCCCTTTAAGCAACGCTTGCTTGGGTCTGTGAGCATGCGGGTGGAGGTGGCAATGACATTCGCCTCAGGCAGTGGCTCTGCGCCTAGCGCAGCAGCTTTCTGTCTAGTTCAGGCCACTCACAAGCGCCCCAGGCTGGCTTGTAGCAACTAAGCGGTCGAAATTCTCACGGCTATCCAGCTGCCAGCGCACGGGAGCTTTGCAGTGTCCAAAGCCGCAAAGCAAGAGTTCAGAGGCGCGCGAGCCATACCCCGAGCCATACCCCGAACCATACCTGTGATTCATACCCCTTATACCAACCTCCCGGCACGGCCACGTCAAAAAACCACATACCCATGTATCCTTTAAACCTCAGTTGGGTGAAAAAATTGACAAGGAGGGTTTTGTCGGCGTCTACGTTCAACGGTCGGAAGGTCAGGCCTGGGTTTCTGGCTTTGGTTGTTGCCCTATTTGGGCAGGAATCCCTTGGGCGCAAATCCCATCTCATGGAATGTAACTCCAGAATCTGCCACAAGGAGCGTATGGACCCGTTCTTCGGCGTGGCAAAGCAGTTGCAGTTACCCATCCTCAGCTTGCCGGACATCCTTTGCGCCCTCCCGCAGTTCAATAGAACCGGGAGGACCATGGCTCATTGATCTGAAACACAGAACATGCAGTAAGAACGCGTCAACACTGCCAAAAGCAAGCTAACTGAATCGGGAATATGGATAGGGCTCCACGTTTCGTGAGCTCATGGAGCTGGGCCGACCCGGCCCACTTTAACATCCAGAGTAAAACTCTTAGCTGATGGTGAGGCATGCCGATCAAGCACTGACATGCACAAAGCTGAAGATCATGGACCCTGGGCCCTTGTTCCAGCTATCCAAGGGTACTCCGCCTTTATGGGCCATGCCGTTCTACCCCAAAGCACCGCCAGGAAATCCAAAAGCAGCAACAACGTGCCATGGCTCTTCTCCTACCCCAACGAGGACAGGCGTCTTATCCCGCGGTTTTTTTCCGCGGCAGGCCCTTGCGGGAATTTTAACGGGGCGCCCCCCGAAGAGGCTTCAGCCAAAAGGTAAAGTGATTTGCTGCTCTTGGCCTTTTGGACAGCAACTTGTTTTTTGCACGCAGGCAGCAGGTTGGCACATTGGGAACCGACGGACTGACCAAAGTGTTTTCTCCACTGTGGGAGGAGGGAAGTCGGGAGGATTGGGGGGGGGGGGTCGGGAAGTTTATCAGGCGCCCCACCACTACGGGTGCGGTGTGCACCACATCATGGCGGAGGCCATTTTTCAGCTGCTCTCGCGCCACTTGGCGGCCGCCTGCCACGCCGACTACCAAAAAATCCTCGCGCAGTCCCAGGCGCGCGGTTTGTTTTGAGCCGGAAGGAGGGGTCCCCACATGGGTGGCTCGTCTGCTTTTGAGGGGAACCCCGTCTTTTTGTGGTGCTAAAGGAAAAACAAAAGCAAAACCACCGTTTTAGTGGGTCTGCATATTCCTTGCAGGCTTGCTTATCTTTGGGCTGGAGGTGGCTTTAGACTAATTATCACATTGTAATTGTATTGTCACCTTTTGGTGTTTGAGGAAGCCACCCATTGATAAGGGTCCATTTCCGATTTCAGACCACTGTGCCGGATTCGTTGATGCAAACCAGAAAATGGATGCCGAAGTTCCTAGCTTGGATGTTGACATGTGTTCTCTTCTCGGGCCAAAGGACATGGCCAAAAAACGTGTTTCATTCCTACTCACTTCCTGAGTTTATGAACGTTCATTCTTGGGGGACGACCATTTTAGTGGTAAATGTAAAGTTTGGCATTTTTTTGGCCATCCACTCAGCCAGCGAGCCTACATAACCGGAACTCGGAGAAGCCACGCTGAGGCTCGGGACGAGGAGCTGAGGATGCAAAGAGCTGAGCTCTCCAGGGAGGAGGGGTGCGGTTGATCACTCGAGGTTTATCCAACCACCTTTGTGATTCTTTTGGAATCTCCCCCTGTAAATTGGGCAGGGCGGGGGGCGGGGGGGGTGGGAAGCCCTTTTTGTTGTGTCACAGAAATTGTCATTTCCTACAGTTTTGGGAGCACTTCTGAGGAACACTCAACGTTGGGAAACACTAAGCTTTGGGCAACACTCACTCAACGCTGGGCAAACACTCGATACCGGAACGCGGCAAACACTCGGCAAACACTCGACACTGGAACACTCGACACTGGAACACTCAACGTTGGGCAAATATGGAGGGTTTTGGGAAGCCCTTTTTGTTGTATCACAGAAGTGGTCATTTCCCACAGCCCTGGGCAGGATCGCTGCCGGATGCAGTTCCAAACCTTCTTGTCCTATTACAGCGCAGAGGGTTTCCGGTCCTACCGCGGCCCCAACTCCAGCTGGCAGTTTGGCGCCGACCGACCCACCAAGTTCGGGTGGATCGCCAACTGGGACCCCGAGCCAGGTCAGCTCTCGGACCCCTACGAGCTCAGAACGAAGCACCGTCCCATGCAGCGCCTGGAGCAGTATGACCACTTGCCGCCAGAGGACATTGTCTTTCTGCTGAAGTTTTCTGTGGGGGTGGCCTTCGTGGAGTATCTATCCACCTACCAGAACATCGGCTCGGCATTCTGCCAGATCGAAGATCTCTCCGGGAAGCTGCTGAGCGAGCGCCACCACATCCAGGCGAAATGGACGCGGAGAGTTTCCCTCTCAAATCAGCTGGCCATATATCTCCCAGAGCTCACCAAAGCTCAGCAAGCTGTCCTGCGCTGCACCAGTGAGGGTCAGAAGTTCAAGCTGCTCTCGGTGTCCAGCTGCTGAATTGAGAAGGCCCCAACAAAATACTCGGAGCTCTGCTTAGACCGATCGCGCGCGCGATCGCACGCACGAGGATGCGACCTGCAAAACGGTCACCACGATTCAAGTAACACTTGGAGCAGCCCCATTTGGGGCTACCAGTTGCTGGGATTGTCCGGAACGATAGGTCAAGGTTTGCGCGAGTGGAAGTCCGCAAGAATCGTACGGAGGAAAAGAAGAGCGCGCCAAGCGTAATTGGAGCCCACTAGGTGGCAAGGATCAAGCATGGAAATCGAGCAAGTTGGATTACGCATCTGGATCAGCAAAAGAGCTACACTCAGTGTAGAAGCAGGGGTTTTGCCACTTGCGCTCTGTTTCGAAGAGAGCAAGCAAGATCCGCCAACCATATGTGGCGTGAAGAAAAACTTGAAGTGGATGATAACTTCTTTGACGGCTTCGCCATGTTCGCACATGAAAGCAAAATCAGAGAGAGGCGTCACAATGTTTCGTGGCTGGTGGTAACGTCATGATGGCGTTAATTATTCATCGATGCGGCTGGAATCATGTCGATGCCGTATTATGGTTCGCGGGTTATATGGCATTATGATTCTATGAATATTATCATAACGATATTGAATTTTATTACGATGTCGTAACATGATTTGTGGTTGTGCTATTATGATGGATATGTTGTTTTTCCTTTATGTGTAGCGCGGTTAGCGTGTAAAGGTTTGTGATTGGAATATTAGTGTGAGGTTAATAGCATTATTATGATATTATTAATATTGTTATGATGTAGGTTATAGAGATTTTAGTTTGAATATAGAGGAACATATTTTATAGAATTAAGATTTGAATATTGGGTATTATTGGAATATATTATGGTGTGTGCATAATTTTGCAAGATTGATGGTAGTGCGTGGAAGGTTAAGATGGGTTATTGTTTTGAGGATATAATTTTGTAAAATTCGTTAGGAATGAGGAAATATAGGAGTATTGGTATAATATTTTATGAAAATTAATTTTGAGAACAGAATAATTTAATCGATATAAAATATATATATAAAATATATATATATATATATATGTATATTTATATGTATATTTATATGTTGATTTATATAGACAAATATGTGTTAATATTTACTCTATAAAACGAAGCCGTGAAACTTGCTCGTCGCACTTGCGCGTTTTCCCGGACCGCTTTTCCGAAAAATCCCGGATATTTCGGAAAATTGGTTCGGGCTGCCCCTGGAAGATGCAACCGCTTCATATTCCCTACGGACCGCTTACCCAAATCTGTCCGGGCTACCCCGGCCATAATCCGGAAGATGCAGTGGCTTCATTTTTTCTAGAGACCAATTTCCCGAAATATTCCAGATATTTCGGGGAAATCGCAGACACCCACCATTTTCTCGAAATATTAGGAATATTTCCCAAAATATTCCAAATATTTCGGGAAATTCTGTCGTCGAAATATTCGGAATCTTTCGGAAAATGGTCTGGAGTGCAATTATCGAAATATCCGGGATATTTCGGAAAAATGGTCCGGGCTTTGAACGAAGCCGTTGTGTCTTCCAGATAAAGAGTCGGGGCATATATCTGCCTATCCGTAGCAATTTTGGCTGAAATCTTGGCCCATCTTCCGAGAGTTTGGCGATGCGAGAAGGTGTGAGCCGCGGCCGATTGTTGCAACCCGTGGCGTTTTTCCCAATGCTTTGGGCGAAATCAGCTCGGCTTTGCTTGCACCCAGGATGTTTTCTGGTCGCGTTTTCGCTTGCGCTCGCAACAACTGCGTGTGTGGGGTTTCCAAGGCCAAACTGCGTGTGTGGATGGATCTTTTGAGGCCAACAGCCCGCGGATCCGTTCTCACCTTGCTCAGGCGACCGCCTTTCACTGACTCTTTGGCGTGACCTTCTCGCAACCAGCCCGGCCCTCAGTGCGTCTCGCGACCTGTGTTTGGACATTTTTTGATACATATGAGATGATAAAATATGTTGGTGCCTGAGTTGCAAAAAATGTCTATTTGCTCTGTTCTTGGCACACTAATCACGGCCTGGACCTTGGCCCCTGAGAGCTCGGCCCTTTTTTGGCACCCGCCCCCTCATTGCTGGTTTGGATTGGTGGTTTGGGGATTGAACCCCTGGATCATGTTGAAGTTGAATGGGAAACCACCCCCTAACCTCCAAAACACCGATCCAAACTACCAATCCAAACCGGGCCGGTAGCAACCCGGGGTGCCCAGTCCAAAGAGGACCGCCGAACACCTGCAACCACCTCCTGGCCACGGGCCAGAATACAGCCGTCGCGGAGGGTAAGGAGAGCAGCGGGGCAGCGCCGAGACACGCGCGTGACAAACCGTTTCCCAACGGCTCGCTCCACTGGGCGAGGGCGCCAGGGGACAAGCGGCCAGCGGCCGCGTGCAACTAGGGCACGCGCAGCCGAGAGCTCGCACGCGCGTTCTTGCAGCCCGTCTGCATCACGGCTCTCGGGCTCGGAGTCGGACGCGTGCACGCGCGCAGGCGAAGCCTGTGGCAGGTCGACATCAGAATCCGGCGCGCTGCGCGCCGGTGTGTCTCTTTTTGTCTCTGTTTCTCTGTCGGTGTCTGTCTCTGTCTCTCTTTGTCTGTTGGTCTCTCTGTCTCTGGTATCTGTTTCTGTGTCTGTCTGTCTGTGTCTGTCTGTCTGTCTATCTGTCTGTCTTTGTCTGTCTGTGTCTGTCTGTGTCTGCGTCTGTCTGTGTCTGTGTCTGTGTCTGTCTGTCTGTGTCTGTCTGTCTGTGTCTGTCTGTGTCTGTGTCTGTGTCTGTGTCTGTCTGTCTGACTGTGTGTGTCTGTCTGTGTCTGTCTGTCTGTGTCTGTCTGTCTGTGTCTGTCTGTCTGTGTCTGTCTGTCTGTGTGTCTGTGTCTGTCTGTGTCTGTCTGTCTGTGTCTGTCTGTCTGTGTGTCTGTGTCTGTGTGTTTGCGTTTGTGTCTGTGTGTCTGTCTGTTTGTGTCTGTTTGTGTCTGTTTGTGTCTGTTTGTGTATGTGTGTCTGTGGCTGTGTCTGTGTCTGTCTTTGTCTCTGGTTTTGTCTTTGTCTCCTGTTTCTGTCTCTGTCTCTGTCTTTGTCTGTGTCTCTGTCTTTGTCTTTGTCTGTTTGTCTGTTTGTTTGTCTGTTTGTTTGTTTGTTTGATTGAAATTGATTTTGCGAAGGTTAAGCTTTGTGAATTTATGAAATCTAGTTGATATTGCATAGGAGGTTGTTGATACGCGTTAGTGGGAGATGAAGTCCGAGAACCGTTTTCCCAAAATATTCCACATATTTCGGGAAATGCTGTCGTCGAAATATCCGGAATCTTTCGGAAAAATGGTCTGGAGTGCGCGAAATATCCGGGGCATTTCGGAAAAATGGTCCGGGCTTTGAACGAAGCCGTTGTGTCTTCCAGATAAAGAGTCGGGGCATATATCTGCCTGTCCGTAGCAATTTTGGCTGAAATCTTGGCCCATCTTCCGAGAGTTTGGCGATGCGAGAAGCTGTGAGCCGCGGCCGATTGTTGCAACCCGTGGCGTTTTTCCCAATGCTTTGGGCGAAATCAGCTCAGCTTTGCTTGCACCCAGGATGTTTTCTGGTCGATCGCGTTTTCGCTTGCGCTCGCAACAACTGCGTGTGTGGATGGATCTTTTGAGGCCAACAGCCCGCGGATCCGTTCTCACCTTGCTCAGGCGACCGCCTTTCACTGACTCTTTGGCGTGACCTTCTCGCAACCAGCCCGGCCCTCAGTGCGTCTCGCGACCTGTGTTTGGACATTTTTTGATACATATGAGATGATAAAATATGTTGGTGCCTGAGTTGCAACAAATGTCTTGCCGGCGCGGGCTTTATAAGATTTGCTCTGTTCTTGGCACACCCACCACGGCCTGGACCTTGGCCCCTGAGAGCTCGCCCCTTTTGTGGCACCCGCCTCAACTTACCCCTCATTGCTGGTTTGGATTGGTGGTTTGGGGGGTGTCGTCTGGTTGTCGTCTGCTCCTCGTCTAGTTTTCGTCTGGTGTCGTCTGGTCCTCGTCTGGTCTTCGTGTGGTGTCGTCTGGTCCTCGTCTGGTCCTCGTCTGGTCCTTGTCTGGTGTCGTCTGGTCCTCGTCTGTCATCTGGTCTTCGTCTGGTTGTCGTCTGCTCCCGGTCAGTTCGCGTCGCGGAGTGCTTGGTGCACCTCAAGCTCCTTACTCTTGGTCACTGAGCGCGGGTTGTCGCCGTGCATCATTCGCATATGTCCCAGCAAGCTCTGCGCTCCGGAAAACGGGAGGTCTTGCCGAGGACAGCCCTGGATTTGACATACAAAATTGCTGCAGTCACGGCAGTGCGCCCGCTGTCGCCAGTGCTGACAGATTGCTGTGCCGCCGCAGTCGCCGCACTGATACCGCAGCCGCGCATGTTCGCAGACCGACGCGCCGCCGCAGTCACGGCACTGGTGCCGCTGTCGCCCATGCTCGCAGATCGACGCGCCGCCGCAGTCACGACACCGGTCATCGCTGAACACTCTTGGTGTGTTTTCTTACACGCCCCGGCGAGCGGCGACGCAAATGAACGCGCCTGAATAGAGGCAGCTGTGTAGGCGCGAGGTGTTTAAAACCCACAGGCGCCAGCCCGCCCGCCGCGGCAGAGACTACCGGAGGCCAGCAGGATGAACGCACCGCCCGCTTCGAATTTGGCAAGTAAGGCAAAGGAACGAACTCATGGGGAAGATCAAGGTATTCCCCACGCTAGATCATGTTGAAGTTGAATGGGAAACCACCCCCTAACCTCCAAAACACCGATCCAAACTACCAATCCAAACCGGGCCGGTAGCAACCCGGGTGCAACCACCTCCTGGCCACGCGCCAGAATACAGCCGTCGTGGAGGGCAAGGAGAGCGGCGGGGCAGCGCCGAAACAAGCGCGTGACAAACCGTTTCCCACTCGCTCGCTCCACTGGGCGAGAGCGTTAGGGGACAAGCGGCCAGCGGCCGCGTGCAACTAGGGCACGCGCAGCCGAGAGCTCGCACGCGCGTTCTTGCAGCCCGTCTGCATCACGGCTCTCGGGCTCGGAGTCGGACGCGTGCACGCGCGCAGGCGAAGCCTGTGGCATGTCGACATCAGAATCCGGCGCGCTGCGCGTCGGAGGTGTGCCTCGTTTTGTCTTTGTCTCTCTGTCGGTGTCTGTCTCTGTCTCTCTTTGTCTGTTGGTCTCTCTGTCTCTGGTATCTGTTTCTG